CACCTCTGGTGTCTATCTACTTGAGGTTCAGTTGTTGAATTGAAATTTAGAGTTGTGTTAAGCACATCTCATAAAGACCTCCAAAAGTGGATAAAAAATTTTACATCCCTATATGAAATGATGGTTTTTAGTACACCAAGTGAGAAAATTATTTCTTTGAAATAAAAGTATAGAATGAGCAACGAGTCCATCGTCTTGTAGCAAGGAATGATCTGTGACATCATAAAGAAGAGGTCTACCACTACCATAGCAAAATTCATACTTTTCTATGTCTGTGATAAACCCTACACAAAATTCAAGCCAACGCCCAACCAACATGCTTCAGGAAAAGAAAAGAAAATGTATATGCATATATTCTAACCACAAGTTTTACCCTAGTGACATAATTTACACTATCTAACATGTCTCTCCACATCTAATATCAATTTGGGCCAGTAGAAATTCTTTTTCACTAAAAAGAGAGACTTGTCCACGCAAAAGTGTCATGTCAAACCTCTATTATAACACGTCTATAAGATGGCCACTCTAAATAAATTTTTAAGAACACACAATATATTCCGGTAGAATAAATAGTCATCTAACCTGTAAAACTACTCATAAAATTAATCCTGAAAAAGATCTCAAATCTCTGGAAAATCCTCATCATTTATACAGAGAGATGTAATCGAGACAAGTCGGAGTCCAGTATGCCATGATTTAAACTTCGATTGGTTAAAACGTAAGATGTTCACGTTCAATTTGAACTTAAGATGAGCTTCAAAAATATGTTTATACTTAGCTTGCTTAAATTTTTTTTATGTTCATACTTGATTTGTACTTCGTTGGTTTATATAAATTATAAAGTTATATAAATTATAAAGTTAAAAGTTTGAATGAGTCTTCAATTTTTCATATTAAATTAAACATTTCATTGTACATGATTTTTCAAATAAAATTAGTGAAAAAGTAAAAATATAAAATTAGATTTGATTTTTTTATGTAAAGTTATTAACAAATTATTCTACGAATCTAAATAAATAAGTAATTAAATAGATTCCAATTAACATTTAACTAGTCAATACCGAGCAAATAAAATAAAATATAAGTTATTAATTAGCCTTTTCGCAATCAAAGAACATAAATAAATACTAGCAAACTAGTTCATTGAAATAAAAAAAATCATTAAATTTATGTGTACATTCATATTAAATTATGAGGAATAAATTATGTCCTTAGATTAAGAGTCATTTCATTTCCTATTTTATATTTATTTCCATGAATTAGGAGTTATTTTCTTTTTTGTTTATGTTTTTCATATTTTATGTTATTTCCTTTATTTCAAAATAATTATTATTAATTGATTAATTGGAGATATAGGAGCTATTTCTTTTCTTTCATATTATTTCCTTTTTAGTGTATTTCATATTCTAGGACTCATGTAAAGATTATTTATACCCCCTTTCATATCAATGAATTAATACAAGCTTGATCCCACTAATTTCTGTGTTATTCTACATTATTCTGAAATTTAACATAGTATCAGAGCTAAATTTAGAACCTTAGGTCGTCCTTTGAAAGTCGTTGGACACTCTGCCTACCATCGTCCTTGCATGAATGGAGGGGCCCTTTCTGCAGACCCTTGTTGCTAGAACAAATCCCTATAGACCCACCGATCCCACACGATTATAAAGTTCAGTGTCCTCCGTAACAATAGGAATTGACGGACCTGCAACCCCCACAGGACGGAGTTACAATGGGAGTTGCAGCTTGCGCAGAGCGGAACTTGCAACACTATCCACAAAACCGGCACTTTCCCTTAGCGATGACCTTGCGAGCTGGTCGCTGCAGCCAAGGGCAACCGTCCCTCAAACTCTTGTGTGACTTTCTCTTTCTGGTGGAAATCCCAGATATGAGATTTTGATCCGGGTGGCGGATTGCCTTGCCCAAATTCATTAGCTGCTCATCACCGAAGAGGCAAACAGCGTTACCATAGATCAATAAGAACGAGATAGATGACCATCTTATCGAGGAGATACATTTTTCATGTTTGTTGAATACAAGTCCTTACCGTTGGAGGAGAAACTTTCCCTAGAGTTGCAGCTGCCCCGGCGACTTCCCTGTAGGGCATTTCTGCTGGTTTTTGTTCTCTGTAGCAGTCCGACTTCAGTCCGACTTCCCTAATTCCCTAAGTTACTTGATTGGCGCCCCCGCTCTAGCTTCCATTGCGATAGTGAAGACGGTGGGTAGATATATAACCAGGTAGGGGGGAGTGTCTAGTGATGGCCTCCAACGAACTTTCTATACAATCAATGCAATGGTTTATTTAGTGCAGGTGTTTCTGTGGTTGCTTATGTGGTGGAAGCTCATTCAAGTCATTATTGTATTGTTCAAGTTATTTTTTTTGCAGGTGCCTCTTTTCATGTTGCCCTTGGTTTCTTTTTTTATAGTGGAAGATTTTTCCTAGCATTGCAATGCTTTTCGGTCGAATCAAAAGACGCAAGAAATTGCATCAAACCCCTCCAGGTTTTTCTTGCGTTGTATTTTCTACAGCAGACCCTCTTCTAGAACTTTTTCTTGTATCAGACCCTCCTCCAGAGCTTTCACCACAACAGGCTCTCCACCTAACTTCTTCCTCCAGTACATCCTCTACTGGAGCCTTTTGCTGCAACGAGGCCTACCTCCTATGGTCTTCCTTTTCTATAGGTCATACCCTGTAGCTTTTCTCGTTGATTGTTTACTTCCCTACAAACTTCAAGCATTACCTGTAAGAGTCTTTTTCCTACCTACAGATACTGCAGGAACTGTAGTCAAAGACAATCATAGTTGTATACTCTCCTACAGCAATATCTGTAGGAGTCTTCCGTCTACCTACAGACACTGCGGGAACTGCAGTCCAAGACAACCACAGTCAACTTCAAGTCAATTTTTCCTGTTAAATGTTTGTTTTGCTACAAACTCCCCTACAGCATTACTTATAAGAGTCTTCCACCAACCTACAAACACTGCAGGAACTGCAGTCAAAGACAACCGCAGTACAGGACGGAGACTTCAAATTCTACCTCTCAAGATCTTCCTCACCTATCATTTGGTGTTTTCAAATCCAAGTTGAATATGATTTTCAAATATGTTTCAATTTGAGGAGGAGTCTTAGGAGTTATACTAGGAAATAATTTATCCCTATGATAAATTATAAAGAATAAATTATTTTCTTGGATTAAGAGTTATTTCATTTTCTATTTTATATTTATTTCCTTGGATTAGGAGTTACTTCTTTTGTTATTTTACCCTTTTTTATTTTATGGTGTTTACTTTATCTTCAAATAATTATTGATTAACTAGATATATTAGGAGTTATATCTTTTCTTTCATATTATTTTCTTTTTTATTGTATTTTCTTTTCTAGGAATAATGTAAAGATTATTTATATCCATTTCAAATCAATGAATTGACAACGACTCCCACTAAATTCCACTTTATTCCACATTATTCTAAATTTCAACAATTCTCAATAAAGCTATAGACGCATCTCTGAGAGAAAAGAAAGCTACAGCACTCCACAAGATAAAACCCATCAAACCAAGCCAAAATTATCCATAGGTTTTCAAAGGAAATATATTAATACTAGGAAAGTAAAATAAACCCTAATCCTGCTCCAAATAAGGCAAATAGAAAACCAAGGAGGACTGGTTAAATCGGTCCCGCAATTTCCCAATTCCATCCAGGGCAGAAGTCACGCCTTTATCACCACGCCTCAGCCAAAATTGATTATGGCACCCAAAATCCATCTTCTGCTGGAGGTCCAATACAAGCTGCAGTAGAATCCAACAGTTGGAAAGGTCTCCATCCACTGCAACATGTAGGAAGAGCCTTTGGAGGGATGTCCATAGGTGCTGCAGAAATTATTCCACAGGAATGTCAAGAACCTTTCCATCGTAACTCGGACCAACTTGTTAAGCAAAGAAACATTCCCATCAGTTCAGCTAACACGCTAGACTCCATAGCCCTGAATCTATCAGGTTCTATTTTCCAGCGATGCATATTTTGCAACTTTAAACATTTTAACTACACTATCTCCTCTATTTTAACAAGCAGCTGGCTGAAATTGATTCCAGCACTGATGGTTGGCTGTTTTCTCGGAGAAAAGTCTTAGGAGGAAGTAACAAGGTTGGGAGATAACATCCATCAGCACCATTAATCTCTAAATTTCACTGTAGCTGATTGTGGCTGAAACAAAGCAATTTCTAGAGCTGTAAAAATAGAAACCAAAAACTTATTGGCGACTAACATGGGTTCCTCACAATGCTAAAACGGAGAAAAAATTTGTCTGAAGCACTAGAAAATACGCAGTTATCAAAATCTATCCTTGATGTTGTCATTCTTTTGGAAACAGTTCAATCTTTTCCAAAGCATAATGAACAGAAAGAATTACTGGTCAAAAAATCCATTACGCTTATTACAGACACCTGTAATATTTTGCAAGCATAACTGACCATGAACCTAGTGTTCGGTATTCTTTTGGAAATAGTTTTGGATTGTAATATAAACTGTTCTAGTTTCCAAATATTGGCAGTGTCAATGGCAAAATGATGCAACTCAGCAATGGAATAAATGCTATTTTCATATGCATAACTCAATAATCAAATTAGGAATTCCAATTGTGTTTTTCATTAAAATTTGAAATTTTACAAGGCAGAAGTTTATGACAAAATGGCAAATCACAGACTGTTCATCAAAGTCAAATTTTATGGGAATGGAAACTTTGTCATGGAATCAAAGAAACAAGGGCAACAGCTTCATGTGATCATGGTGCCCATGTAACGGACACACCAATTGTTTTTCTGGCATTCCAAAGTTTATGATGATGGCAATTAAAATCCGAAAATCAGAAGCAATTTGGTATTCATTAATGACTAACAAACGCAGCCAAAATCACTACATTAAATCTTCAGTCAATATGATCTACTTTCTATTTAAATTGACCCAAATGATCAAAAGTTGGAAAAAAGAAATAAAAGACAAACCTAAAAAATCAAGAAATTTCGGGAAACACGTTCCATCTCCCCAAAGTCCTAGTCGTACCATATAGCCCATGTTCCTAGGCTCAGATGCACCGGTCGCTGAGCAGTAAACAACTCTAGCTTCAGGTAGGCGAGCCTGTTCATACAGATGTTAAAACCCTGCATTGTAAACCAAGCACAGTTCTTTTTCACAGAAGACTGCTCACAAGTCATGAGATAAGAATTGTATCAGTAAAAGGACAAAAAATATCACAATTTATAATTCAAATACAGCTGGCATTATGTATGGTAGATCCTTAAAGTTAACTAAGCAAATGAGCTTAATAATATTGTGAACTAAGGCTAGAAGACACCACATGCTTTGAATGTGGATATACATATATATGTATAAAATGGACCTGCACACATACAAAATAAAGAGACGAGACATCTTCCATCACCATAATCACACAAGCCAATAATGCTAAATTTCATTCCCAATAACTGAAGGCCCAAGAAAAAGGATAAATGGAAGCTGGAACAACCGCCAATTGGTAAAACAATTACAACTTAACTCCGAAGATCAAATCTCAACAGTGCAGATGAAACCTTTTAATCAGAGGCAGAAAAACAATGTAAGAATATTTAAGATGGAGAGACTTCCAAAAGTGAGAAAATAACGTTATGAGCCATTGTCCGACAGATGTTAATCAGGGGCACTAACATAAGGCATCATAAATCAAATGCTGGAAAAAAGTGTGGGACTGAGATTAAGCACGAATTTCACAGGACATGAAACCATCGATAGTAAGCAAACAAGTCAATATAAAGGTTCTATCCATTTAGATTCAAGCTTGCAATGATAATGGCATCACCTTTCCAATGAAGAAACTGAGTATATCAACATCTCCGGTAATTTTAAAAGAGCAAACAATGCAACCATAGAACAACTAGCTACCCAAAAATATCATCTCTACATGAAAATATGACTTCAACAACATATGTAGACGCAAAACCTAAAAAACAAAAAAGTGCTAATCTGGAAACAGCAGGAAATTGCATGCATGCATAATATAGATATATATATAGACACGTACGCATATATATCCTCTAGAAAAAAAAAGGACACGTTATATTGTGGTAAAAAGGGAAAAGAAAATAAAGAAAAGTAGAAATGAAGGCCACGGTTTTCAGTTTGGCACGGTTAATAAGCTGATAAAACACAAGCTACCAAACAATATTACATAACAATGATGAAAAAATATATATAAATATAAACAATAACTGATCAAACTTAATTATGAAATTACTTCATAAAAAAAATCTGATATTAGGAAAATATAACTGATTCGGCCCACGACTGCTTTTTGATCATTAGATAGCATGTGTAAAACAGTGTTTTCAAAATTTAAAATACAATGCGACTAGCAAAGATTTTTCTCTGTTATGGTGCAAAAAGCATGAAGCTAAGTGTAGACTCCAAAAATTTCATGCCCGGACTTCCATTGGTAGTACAAAGAGCTTCGTAAGTTCAAATTTTCAGAAGATTGATTGGATTATAGATAAGACGTTACCCAGAGATTTTTCCATCATTTTGCGAGGACCTTTTGCTATAGGCTTCCTGGTTCCCATAAGCACAAGCCCATATGGTTAATTACCCCTCCTGATAACCTAAGAGCATTTTCGATTGGAGAAGAAGAAGCATTGCTCTCTAACCTTTTTACTCGGCTTCCAAAGCCCTCTTCCTTGCTGAAAACCAACTCTCCTCAAAGATTTTCGGATTCCTTAATTAGCCCCAAAGCTGGCTAGGAAAAAGGGAGGGGAATTTCTTTCCCGTGCATAAAATAAGGCCTCTTTTCCATGTGGCATCCTTCCATTGGCCTCTTGGGAGGTTGGCAACCATCTAAACCTTCTTATAGGACCAATAAAATCAACCCCAGCCCAATGGTGAGCTGAGAAACAAACACATGCTTTAGGTAATAAAATTTATCATCTTGCGCTTGAAGTGGATGGTGGGGAAATGATGATGAAATCGATCAAGATTGCATGATGTCATCGTCCTAAGTCGTCGTGGTCTCTGATCTACTTAGTCAGATAAAGTAGTGGACCCAGCCTGACTGAAGAATCCTTTTCAGGAACCATGAGTTGTGTCGTCCAAGAAATCCTTGTAGATCAAGGGTGAATTTTTGTCTAAGATGATAAATTTAAATAGATCATAGCTGACAGAAGATTTTCAGTGAATCAAATGTACACTTATGATTCACAACTCAAAGGTAAAAATTTATTAGGGAACATACGAGTTGTGACTGCGACCGTAATTTAATGATGTCATTTAGCGACAACCAACCAAGTTAGAGGGTTTTGATTGTAACCACTATTTTTTGTGGAGTTATTGGGTCAAACATAGACAGAAGACTCGAGTAATGTTCTTACTAGCGTAAGATTATTTTGAGCGTCAATATAGTGATATAGTCGATGTAACAATCACGCTTTATGAGCTGAAATTAATAATAGTTTGCAACCCTCAACAAACTGTTGTGAATGATAGATAAAACTTGTTCAAGTCTTTTAAGTTTTTTAGGCGATTAATTTTTACTTGAATATTATTTTTCATTACTCTGGAAACTTGATTTGAAAGGCTTGATTAAAAATTGGCCCATCCAATTGAGTTATTTCAGTCAACACGGTCGTCATCGGGTATTTAAACATTTGAAACATTTATGTTTGTAATTTATTTGAATGTAATTTTAATATATTTAAAATATAGAATTGTCAACTTTAGTTCTAATGTGAGGATAAGATTACGTGATTTGATCTTGCAAGTTTTTATATTGTTATTTGAATATTATTCAAATCAATAGACTCGTTGACTCCAGATCTTAAAAGGAGAAGGATTGGACTAACTGAGTGAAACTTATGACTCTATCATATAGGCAAGACAGTCTGATTGAGAGCAAGCGAGGTTTGATTATGCTGAATTAATATTAAAACAAAAACAATCTTAATTTTAATGTAATCATGAATTTTTCAAAAAAAAAAAAAACTTTACACGCTTATCAAAGCAAGAATTATTTGAGTGAATGTTTAACCAAGTGCAGTATTCTCATATTATTTGCTAAAACATTTAACACTTTAACCGGAGCACATACGGGTGAATCAAATTTGATTTTAAGCTAGCTCGCAAGCATTCTTGAATTAAGTATTTGGGCACTCTATTCATTGATTGAAGTGTGTGTGGGCCTTCAATTTCATACATTTGGATACTTTAAAAATCTTTCTTTTTAAATCGATTTGCACGTTTCTTATAGAAAGATATTTCAAAATAATTTCATATTAATCCGCGAAGCATTCTCAAGCCCAGGAATTTAATTGCTTAACATGATCATCGGAGCCCATACAGATATATTATTTTAAATATTTGCCTATTTTAGTTAATTAGGCATGCTTTAAAACAATTTACATTATTTTCAAACATGAATTGAAATAATAATTGCTTTAAAAGACATGTGAAATTTGAAGTTATATAAATTTGTCTTATTTGAATGAATACAATGATGCATGAAAAGGTTCACTTAAAGCTTTTGAAATATTGAATCCAACAGCAAATTTCGAGATAATTTTAAAACTTACTATTCAATTTTTTTTTTTACTTTCATGTTTTAAAATTTCAATTGCTCATGCATTATTAACTTTTCCAGCTGTTAAAATCTCACATTTAAAATTTTTAAATTCAATGCACTGAAATGCCTTATTTTTAATTATTAGCGAGCTATTGAGCCTTTTATAAATAAAAGCATGTGTTCGTTTATTATCATTATAAATAATAATTATTCTTAATTATTTATAATTTTCCTTCATTTTACATATTGTTAAAATCAATTAGTCCAAATTGTAAAGTCATATGCAAGTTCAAGATTTTATATTTTTAAGCCATTTTTATATCTTAATAATTCAATTTCAAGTATTTTTACAAGTCCAAATTATTCAAAATTTTAACTTATTCACAAGTTCAAATCACATGAAATTTCAATGTCTTTGTGTCACCCCAGCTTAAGGGGTATTGAGGAAAGTGTCAAACTACTCAACTGTCATAAAAGACGTACTAGTCGGTATTGTGAAACATTATTGTTACGAAATAAATGTTTTTTAACCCATTGGTTTTAAAAGACGCATCAAGCCTTTAATTAACCTGCAAAACATTAAACATATGCATTCATTTCCCAAAATCGGTACATAAAATTCTTTGAATGGTACTTAATTTATAGACAGATGCTCAAATTAACCGAAATGAATATTTAAATTTTTTTGCTTTTTTTAAAAAATTCTCTGAACGAGTATACAAATTTTCCTGAACAGTACATAATTTTCTGAACATTTACTCAAGTTTCTAGAATGAGTATTTTAAAAATCCCCCTTTAATACTTTTTTGAGCAAAATCAATGAAATTGACGACAATGAAACGACGTAATGAAAATCTAACATAATATTTTTTTTGTCTCCATCAAATTAAGAGAATTAGAGAGGGGCTGGTGACACACAAGTAGAAAGTGGAGCATCAGGATTTCTATTTGGGCAACAAAGGGAAACGGGGTTGTTGGCTTCGTGAGCGGCATAGGGAGTGGAGCAAGCTTGGTACAATAGTGAGGGCTTAAATGAGAGTGATCAAGGAAAATGATTTTGTGGTTGTTTTGAATAGGAGAGGAGGGGGTTTTACGGTTGAAAGCGACAAAGGATCTGTTCGGTTCTATAGTTCAAACAGGGAAAAAGGATCAATGTGATGGCCAATGTGCAAGTGAAAGCATGTGGCGAGGGTTGCAATTTTGAGAGAGAGACAAAAGATTGGAGTTTTACCTCGATCCCAACATTGTTTTCCTCGCTAGCCCTCGTCGTGACTGTCTCGCGAACCTTGCGGTCACGAAAAAAGAAAGATGGAGGGTAGGAGTGTGAACGACGGTTGGTGTCATCGGAGCAAGCACATAGAGAAGAGGAGCTTTTACGAGCGGCACTGTGCGGCAGAGATGACCAACAAGCTCTATTGTATGTGATTGGATAATGACTAGCAAGCGGAGTGGATCGAGGAGGCAGAGTGGATGGAGAGAAGTTGGGAGTTTTGAAGAACTTTCTATATAGTGATCCTGTCGTTTGCTTTCCTGCTAGCCCTAATTGCAATTGTATTGTGAGAAATTTGATCACGAGAGGTATAAAAATAGAGAATGAAGTAGAACAAATGAAGAGGGAATGAATAAGAAATTTATGGGAGACAAAACATGATTGGACTTGGTTAAATAGCGGACAAGTATGATTAGGTAAGAACTGGGAGTAATTAAAGGTTTTAATTTTTTTTTTCATTTTCAACGGTCAACGCAAAGTAGCATTTTCATATATCATAGCAAATATTAACTTTCAACAAATATAATGATAAAAGCAATAACTTATCTAATAAAGGTAAATTTAGCTTTCAATTGACCAACCTAAGATTAAATCAATAGCAATAAAAAGTACATAGCTATTGAAGAATGATACTCATTCCACACATGGTTGTTTGGCCTACCAAAGAGCATCTTGGTGAACCAAGACAACCTCGTAGCTGATCAGAATGTGACCCACTCCAAAATGACTAGGATGAGCTACTAGTTCACTAGGAAAATTTTGTTGGGTCGACCAAAAAGTATTAGTAATTAGGTCAATTGACATTATCAACTAATTAGGAATTGTTATATGCAAAATTGACTTAATAAAAATATTTTAGGAAACAAAACTAAAACGAAATTAAAATTATATAGCAATTCAAAAGCCAAAAAAGAAAAACTAAGAAATGTAAACGACCCAAGTGATGATAGAATGCCTAAAAACAATGATATCTATGAAATATCGATCAACAAATTACTCTGCATCTGTGTAAGAAGTCTTTTCCGTCTGGGTGGGACATAGCAAAAAATTGGATTGTTGTGTATTGAGAACTAGAAAAAATGAGAGGCCACAAGTTCGAGGAAGAAAAGCGGGGGATCAAGTGTTTGAATTTTACTTCGTTCACTGCTAAACTTTTACACGGCATTTGAATTACTTCTATGGGCAAATTGATATGTTCAATATCTTCTAAACCTCATTGACGCTAAGCACATGTGCAATAGAATGTAAAGCACTAAGACATGCCCATTTGCATTACAATGGAGCAAAGCATTGGTAGTACACACTAGTGTTTTGCTTCAAAAGCTTGCTTTTGATTGCATCGATTAAAATCTAGTTCATAAGATAAAATCACAAAAAGATTCACCTTGCAATATTACGGCAAGAATGCTACATCCACCAACTTCAAAGCAAATAATGGTAGGAAGCCCTACGTACTTGGTATAAAGGTGACAAAGAGCCGAGCATGAGAAAGCTCAAAGTGTTGTCTCGCTTAGCTCATTAAGCAAACAAGCAAAACTTTTATATTTGCGTTTAGCATTAACTTACCAAGCCATATACAAGTTATTCACAAATAGATAGTATATTTGAAAATTATAAAATATGAAGGTCTTTATGCATATTCACAATGTACTATATTCATACAAATAAAAAAAATATAAATATGCACAAACTATAAACATATGCAGACACATACATCTAAACATGTTTAAATATACATGCATGCATGCATATTTGTATATCTTTTTATGTCTATATAAGCATAATCCAGCGGGTATCAAGCGGAAAATGAACTAGGCTTTTTGGCATCCCTACATAGGTATTCCCACTTTTCTTTTTGGTGCAATAATAACATTTAACTTAAATTGTATATGGTTGATTCAAATTGCATTTTGCCTCGTGAAAAACTGATAAATTGCATTCAGTTATTCTCATCTAATTCTAATAAACATTCATTGACTATTGTTGCATTGTCATTAATCTAGGTAAGCATCATGATGCAAAATAAAACAAGCAAAGAGGTATGCTATATGACAACCATTCAACACTTAAAAAGGGGGGAAAAAAAAGAGCTATGCTCGAAGAGTGTGCAAGAAAGATGTCCGGCAAAAAGTTCTTCATTAATCTATTTAATTCAATAAGCTTTCTGAATGACAAAAAACCCACTCAGGTAATCAATTTATCTTCCCATTTTTCTCATGTAGCTCTAAAGGCCATTAATCAACTATTATTGCATGGCTATTTAACCGGATAAGCATCAAGATGCTAAATAAAACAAAAAGCACCATCAACATGACCCGTTCTAAACTTTAAAAATACATGAATACGCAAACATTCCGTACTGTAAAAAAGATCTGACACCCGAGTTCATCTGAGTTCATTAGATTAATAATACTAAGAAGAATTTTACATACAATTATCTTCATGAAGAAATTTATGAGCTTGCAGGGGCTTATCCAGCTGAGTAATAGAATAGCATAAAAAAGTTGCTTTTTACATTGCATTGCGGTCAAACAGAATTAAAAGCAAAAGTTGGTCAATCGCTTCTGTATTTTTGAATGGTAATTATGAAAAAAAAGGGTGCTCTCTAGATATAGCTCATTAAAGCTACCTGTATCTCAAGTACAGCTTCCCCAGTCCGAGTCGCCTGTCCTCCTGCTTCTGGAATTAAATTTTTTGCCTTGTGACACTGTCATGCATGCACAGGGTAAAAACATAATTATACGAATAATAATTATTATAGTAATACAAATTGAGCCCAAACATTTATGCTTTCATTCAATCGTCATATTTTGATCTATAAGAGGTGAAATATTAATAACAAATGGGACAATTTATATGAGTGACTGGGTGTAAAAGGTGCCAAGGATGTTTATGTATCACATACCTCATCAAATACTATAAGACCATCAAAATCAGATCCACACCACTGTATCAACTGCTGTAAACGGGAACGACCTCTCTCAGATGATGCAATGAGACTGCTGTATGTCAGGAAAACCACGCCATCCTTGATGCCGACAGCTTTGGAATCCAACTTTGAGTAAGGAAGCTTATTCAAAGCATGTACTGCATCAAGTAAAACTGATTGCCTCTTAATCTCAGCAAATCATGCATGAGGACCTACCAAATCCAATATTAAGCGACCACAAACCAACATATAAAGCAAAAATATTAAATATCAAGCAGATAGATTTTTTCATTTTAAATTTGGACATGAGTGGGCGATTTAAACGATGCACACTGTGTGAATGATAAAAAAGTAGCAGAATATATGACCTAGACAGGGGAAATAGATTGGAGACAAACTTTACAAGTTATGGTGGGAATATTTAAAGCTTTAAATGGAACAATTAAGGCATGTTGAAATTAGTTTGTTCATGTGACCATTGGGTAGGAAATTAAAGTTTTAGGAGAATGCTGACGAGATAAACGGATAAAAGGAATTGAAATCAGGAACTCAGACTTCGATATTTCACCTCAAGCAAGAGGAAAAGTGATCCTTAAACCTCAAGCAAAAGAAAACTGGATCAATAAGAAAACAAGTAAATATTTTCACCGTTGACTGACAAGTCAAAGACCACAATTAACAGCTCTTTTCAATTTTGTGGAGAACCAATTTATATATTACCACAGGTATGCATATAAAATCCTTCCAACCATCAATTGATCCTGAGGAATACTGAAAAAAACAGTAACCTACCACCATACAAACCTACAATACTATATTTTGAAGAAAGAAAAGAAATAATCCCAACAATTTGAGTAGGTTAAGGTTTAGAAATTAATCATATGTAACAAAGTGCATATGATATCCCCCTAACAATTTCGATAAAGGATTCACCTTCAATGGATGCAGCACCCACATCATCCAAATCTCTACGTGCATCAAACTTCAAGTCTGAACCAACTGAAATCCACCTGTAAAGAATCGTTTATTTAAAGAATCAATATAAAGAACATAAACTCTGATAAGAAAAACTAAATAACAAAAGAAAAGCCACAAATCGCATCAGCCTGAAAGCGCAAATTAGCTAAACTACTAACAAGATTGGACAAGCAAATCTTCACAATTCTAAGATATCCCCATGCAAGGCTAGATAAAATTCTAGCAACTTAGATCAGGACTGCATAATTAATTTTGGCCAACTAATCAACAAAAGAGTTCCAAAATGATAATTGAAGCAATATAACTGGATTTGGAATGAAAAATAAAACACAAAACCCGTAAAAATTCATTGGATCAAAAGGAAAAAAACCTGAACATAACACGGAGTAAAAGCCAAACAACCAAAACCAATAACAAAGTTCGAGCCGCGTCAAAAACAATTTCGCTTGCACTTCATCAAAAAACAAGCAAGTCGTGAATAAACCAAGCTTCCATGGATGAATCCTATAACAATAAAACAACCTCAGCAATTGGAAACAATCCGTATATTAGGATTGGTCAAGTACTTCATAAAAAAGTCCAGAGTTAAAGATGAACCCCTGCATCACATTAGTTCTGGACTCAATACCACATCAAAAAGAGAAAATAACATAACTAATGCTTAAAAAGAGCTAATGTAGCATGATGCAGAATAAGATAAATTTTGTAAATTATTTCTAGAATATCCTAGCATTTTTACTATTTAAGGTTTTATTTTGATTTTATGATAAAATGTTATATAAATAAATATCAGAGTTATTATTAGGAGATATATAGACTCTGCTTAAATTTGAATTTAAATTTGTCTCAAATTATCTTGTTGCCTATTTCTATAATTGAAGATTGTAGGGCCTGTAAATGATAATTGATGCTGAAATGCACTTCAAAAGATTCTATTCCCTAATTATTCCTCATCTCCCTCTATGATTCCTTCATTTTCCACGAGTTGATGAATCCCTCTCATTCTAACACTAGTAATTTACCACTACAATGCATTTGAATCTCTTACTACAACAATACTATGCCACTACAGTACTGCTCTTGATCTCCATGCAAACATCTCTAAATTCTCTCTCCATTGCTAACTTTGTCCCCTAAAGGTCAAAAAAAAAAACACTCAAATTCAAACACTCAAATTCAAATTCAAGAAGAGAGTAAGAATTAAAGACCCATCACTAAAATGATAACAAATGTCTTTCTTCTACAATAATTGGAATTAGAGCCAAACTTCTAATGGTATTTATCCAAAACCAAGAAAGAAGCCAAATGAATTTCATGCATCTATTACCATGACATCGATAAACCAAAGAAAGTTGGGAAGATAAATCAAAGACATCATTCAAATGCAGAGTCACAATAGCATGAATCTAATAAAATTCTTCAACATCAACTCCATCAATCAACTAAAGATTTGACATGAGCCTTCAAAAAAGTCTAAGGAAAACAACACTGATACTGAATCCAAAACAAAATTTTGAAAGTCTCGCTCAAATATTTCCAATACCAATCTCAAATACATCCAATGGAATAAATAGAGATCTCCAACGACACTAAGTTCAAAGCCCATGGCATACATACATGACCATTATCCCTAAAGGTATAATAGACCACCTTTACTTTGAAAGACGAGGCATCATGACCCACAAACCTCTGATTGTCATTATGGCCAAAGCAACCCCAACCAAAGGACATTTTCAACTAGTAATAATCTTGGAGATAAGGTAAGGTATGACCGCTGGTTATCATTTTCTTAGTAAAAAAAGCAAACTACCCCTACCAAAAAAGCCATAAATTACACATTCATTTTATAACCAGATTCATTTTTTTAGAGAAGGCTCTATTGAGCCATTCTTTTATTCAATCGAGCATCAAGTGTCTTTCACTGAAAACATTCATGAGGGCAAACTAAAAAATTTTTCAGCTGTGTTTCTAAGCAAGATGGAAGAAACCACTATGAAAAACATACCTTAAAGAACTCTATCGACTTTAGACCAGTTATGGTGTGCAACAACAATCATTCACAGCATCTACAATCTAATAGTTATTATAAATCACCTTGAAGGCACCAATATCAATGCATCTAGTCACTATCAATATCCATATGATGATTAAATGCATCATGAAGAATATGAATGTCATCAATGGAAACTTGTATGATGTTTATGCATTTGATTGTGTAATTTGAGAGCTACAAAAAATATTCATCTATAGCTCAAAAAATAAATAGAGAAAAAACACCCACCCATTTGATTGTGTATGTGGCAAAACAATTGATTGCGTAATTTGAACCAACCTTTCACTTCCCTTCTCCAACCTTTGCTCTCTCTCCACCAGATGGTTCTCGCTTTTCCTATCCCAAACTTCTTGTGCTTGTATCTTCACCTATTTTGGGCCCCCTCATCACAACTTTTCCTCCCTGCGCTCCCTACTTCTGCACAGTTTTCTGCCTCCTTGGCCAATACTAAAATTTTCATGGTTCCCTCCTCCAACCCCTTACTATGGTCACTTTAATCATCTCTAATGTTCATCCGCCTTTTGCTCATCCCACTCACTCTTTTGCTAATGTAATTAATGGGTGTTGGATTTCTCATTTGTTAACTCAAAATTTTTCACAAGATCCAAAATTTCATGTACACAAAGAAAATTATATTTTTCAAAACAAATATGTGCTCATTCTTATTGATGTTGAGATCTCTGAACTTCTCAATCATTTTTTAACCGTTGTTGAAATTTTCTCTTTGGGTAATCCCAAAATGGATATCATTTGCAGTCACATGACTGATTTGCAACTATTAGGTGACTTATCAGTTGATACTTTAGATCACTATCATATTATTATCAGGCCAGATTTATATTACATCAGCCATTTTTATAGTTATGTCTATCACATCAGCGGCTTTCAGATGTGAATGCTAAAGTGGTCATCCAATTTTGACGCTTCCGGGGAACCATTTATCACCTTATATGAATAGCTTTTCCTAGTTACCATTATATTTGGAATCTATTTTTAAAATATGCATTCAAATTCAAGCCACTATTGCCCTGGCCAGAGTCCTGGTGTAAATGCACTTAACCACTCTTCATCATAAGGAGTTGACTGATCCATCATGTGATTATTGATAGAATAATGAATTTTAAGGCATTCCACACTATTGCTCATTATGTAAGCTTTATGCCTTACTATGAATACTTCAAGGCCAACAATTGTTTAAGCTCAAGAAGCACATTCAAATGGTAAAAGCCCATCAAAGATTGGTGTTCTTTTATCAGTTAAGATCTGGACTCAAAATATAAGAGAAATTGATCCTTTGGAAAATGAACCTATTATGCCTATCGCCCTACCCCTGCAAATCTTTTAGTTTCACCGCCTGACCTACTTTCAAATAATATGGATATTGAGTCTCCTTGATACTGGAGTTTACCCAAACCATAATAGAATAGCAAATATCATTAATTGAAACAAATAAACGGTTACAACAATCACACTTGAAAGAAAAAATAGAATAACACAATACAAGAAAACACCACTAAATTGTATCCCAACGGTGGTGGTCGGCTAAGTGGATTGGAATGGCTGGCAGGAGAGGCAACAATAAAAGAATGCTGGTGGCAACAAAGGGGAGGTACAAAAATGCAGGGACAGCAAGTACGGTGGTTGTCCTGAGTGATGGAAGCAAGGAGTTGGGGTGGATAGCGGCGGGACAAAAAGAAGGAGGTGTTCCCTGGCTGTCCTAGGCAACGGCGCCAGCGACGATGTGAGAGCGTTGAGACAGAAGGAACAAGAGGCAGTTTGAACGACAACAGTGTCGGAAGAGAGAGGGAGGGGGCTAGGAGCCTGGAGGTTGCAGGAAACAGCAATTAGAACGCTCTCAAGCAAGATAAAGTGATCAGGAGGGGTGTGGGAGGATGCAGAAGAGATAGGAGGAGAAAATCACCACTTCGAGAGAGAAATACAGCCGATCACCACCCAATCCCTCAATACAGCCCTTGAAGAGCAAAACAGACACCGGCAGCTGTCCCGACAGAATTCAAAATCTGGAAGACCAAAAATTGAACCATAAAACAGCAAACAATATATTTATAATAAGTTCTGGTAGTTAGAATAGGAAGGAATTAGAATATGAAAGAAATAGAATTAGGAAGGGAATAGAAAAAGGCAAGGAATAGAAGAGGATGGAATAGAAATGGGAAAGGAAGAGAAATTGGTAAGAAATAGAAATAGAAAAGGAAGAGAAAGAAGCAAGGACTAGAAATAAGAAAGGAAGAGGAATAAAAAAGAAAGGGGGCAGCAGTTTTGAAAAGGGAGGATCCTTTCCCTTTGGGCATCTGCGGTAATGTAGCAGCTACAGTACCGTGTCTCTATGAGCTCCTGTGTCGCTCCTATTGATTCATTGCATCCTCTACATTCTAATGGAAACAGTATGAGTGATAACGTGCAAGTATAAAGTTCAATTTTTATTCACTAGACGACGACGACGACAACAACAACAACAAAGCCTTAATCCCACTACGTGATGTCGGCTACATGAATCCTTTTTCTCCATTGTGTCTTATTTAGTGTCATATTTTTATTTAGTTCTAGTAAATTAAGATAATTTTTTTGTACAATAAGCCCAAGTCTTTCTAGGTCTACCTTCGTCTTTCTTAACACAAGTCGAATCGAAAACATCTACTCTCCTAATCGGATCATCAGATGAACGACATTTAATGTGACTAAAGCATTTTAGACGACTTTCTCTAATTTTGTCTGTCACAGGAGCTACACCAACCCTATCACGGATATATTCGCATTTTGTCTCTAAGTGTAAAGTCACCCATCCACCTAATCATTCTTATCTCGGCAACACTTAAATTATTATTATGTTTTTCTTTTTAAAATCCAACATTCAGCACCATAAAGCATTGCAGGTCTCACCACCGTCTTATAAAATTTTCCTTTCAGTCTAAGCGGTACTTTTCTAACACACAAAAGGCCCGAAGCATTCCTCCACTTCAACCAACCAACTTGAATTCTACTATGAACATCCCCATCTATATCACCATCGCTTTGAACAACAGACCCAAGATATCTAATTTTTTCACACCTTTTAACAATTTGATCACCCAAAGTCACACTTCTGTCACTACAGCAACTACTACTAAAATTACATTCCATGTATTCACTTTTAGTTCTACTTAAATGAAGGCCTTTGGACTCCAACATAGACCTCCATAATTCAAGTTTTCCTAGGGTTTTACTCTCGTTTTATCCACGAGAAGGATATCATCAGCAAAAAAACATACACCAAGGTACATCCTCCTGTAGATGTCCAATAAGACCATCCATAGCTAAAGAAAAAAGATATGGGCATAAAGTCGATCCCAGTTGTAATCCAACAAAAAGAGGAAAATATTTGGTCAATCCTCCTTCAGTTTGAACACAAGTAACAGCTCTAGTATACATATCTTTAATGACTTGAATATTAGTCGAATCAACACCTTTCTTCTCAAGAACTCTCAAAAGGATATCTCTTGAAATCTTATCGTAAGCTTTTTCAAAATCAATAAAAATCAAATGTAGATTCTCCTTATTATCTCTGAACTTCTCCATCAAACCTCTCAATAAATGTATAGCTTCCATAGTAGACCTGCCCGGCATAAATCCAAATTGATTATGAGAAATCTTTGTAATGCGTCTTAACCTATGCTCAATTACCCTCTCCCATAATTTTAAAGTATGACACATCAACTTAATTCCTCTATAATTTGCACACTCTTGTGCATCCCCTTTATTCTTAAAAATGGGGACCAAAATACTCTTCCTCCACTCCTCAGGAATCTTTTTAGTTTTTAAAATAATATTAAAGAGTTTAGTAAGCCAAAAACTCCCAAATCACTATACAGTCGTAATAAAAATAAGCACAGTCATCACTCTCCTAATTTTACCAAATTTCAAGCTAAGCAAACTAAATTAGTTTATTCCCTTATAGTATCTTATTTTTTGCTATGCTTTCTAGCAATTCTTGCTGATTGTCCTTACTATACTTCTATCATTATTTTGTTATGAAATTAAGTTATTCAAAAAAATGTAAAAATAAGAAATCAAAGACCAATCATTAAACTGAAAACAATTTGCTACTACAGCATAGCATCATACAAAAAAATGGTAAACAAAAGAGAAAGCTATAAGAACGCAAAAAAAATAATACAGAATTGTAGAGCGCAAGAAGACAAAGTCAGCCTGCATAATCACATATATCTTACAGTGCCTTCTGATTTCCGTGCTGCCAATTCTCCCAAATCAAACCAGCAATAGTTCGACCTTTACCAACACCAGCACCATCACCAATAAAAAAACCGGCTCTTGCACCATTTTGGAGGTGTTGTAGATGCCGCTACCAAACAAGGAAAGAAACAGCATTGCAGTGATTGCTCTTAAGATTCTTTAAGAAATGGAAGCTTTCAGACAAAGCTAACAAAAAGCTGAGGGAAACCTGGCAAGCATAAACTATCGCCTCAATCTGTAAGCAAGACAAAGCCTTAGACTTCTCCAGCTCTTCCATTATTTTTAGATGGTATGTAGGCTCAGGAGGTTGGGCAGCTGACAAGGAAGATGTTTCCACAACAGGATCAGGGTGAGGATCACCAAGAGATAACTTCGGAGGTCGCTGCAAAATGTAATTAAGAATGACTATCTGATAGTAAAGTTAAAACATATCACACCAATATCCAGAACAAAGTATCTAAATGAAATATGGTTACATAGTCTAAAAATGTCTCTCCAACTGCACCACCTTCATCTTCTTCTCGTTCCACATCAACTGCAACCTACAATATCTCAAGGAAGGATCATGCGAAATCAGCATCATTGCAATATAGGCAAAGATATTATCAAACATGAAGAAATTATTCAAGATAAGGTTCAAACAAATCTAAATATATTGTTAAGCGTTCCCATGTTTTCAAAGGCTAACATCTTATGCAACAGAAAATGCTCATGAAAAACATCAAATATAACAATCTGTAACTAACAGAGCATAGACAAAAAACTGATTGATCTGTCTCTCTCCACCTTAACTTTTTAAAGAAAAGGTTCAAACACCCTAAGCTTTGTTATAACCATTACAAGCAAATAGACCATCATCTCCAACATAGGCCCCAGAATAAATTGCATAAATATTATAGATTCACAGTGAGTAAAAAGAACAGGGTCAAGTTTGCACTGATAGAAAATTAAGTCTGCTCAATCTGATATTCCTAGAGAACTCAACAAAGATAGAAAAATAAATCTGTTTGTTGAATATAAAAAAAATGCAAATGTAAACATTAAAACAATTTAAGAAAGCAATACAATCAAAAAAGTCAACAAGAAGCACTAAGCAAAACTAGATAAACGGTCTATGCATGTGCTCAAGAAGTAAAGTTCTATTGCATTGTTAAATGAAACAAAAAGCTGAATCTTCTACGGTCCTACAATAAAAAATTATGCAGCTCAAATGTGATGCAGGAAGTTTGGCATCTCAGTCTCACAATCCAATTCCTTTTATGTATTAGCTTCAGGTTGTTTGCACATAGAGAATGCTACGAGACTCGAGCACAAAATACTATAACTCTTAATGTCACACTATATCGGTCCACCCCAACCGTCCATTTGCTAACAAGTCGTCTCATAGACCTAATCCCAAAGCAAATCCGCCTGAATTTTCCATTCATAGAGCATCATGAATCTGTACTTGCCATAACAAGTGATACCCTCACATATATATCTTGCGCTCCGCGCATATCTCATCCATGCATCACAGCCCATCTACCCCATTTCGTTTCTTTGATCCTCTCATATGTGCCACAATCGTGGATACTCTACAAATCAGTTGGCTGTGCCTTACAAGCGTCGCCTCCTAAGTGAGGCCGCAAAATTCAAAGACTCTAATTACCACCATAACTCACTTTGTTGCTTATAATCCTAACTCAGCAACAGCAATCAATCTTCAAGTCGATGCCCATTCTAACTTATATAACAATCACTTTCTCCAAACAGCCAAACATCCACTTTCTTACGCCACCTCCCGTTCCCTGCCATCTCAATTATATCGGTCTGCACATTCGTGACAGCACTCAACTCGATCACCATCAACCTTCACAGACACTAACTACTCATGGAAAGTCTTCTACCTAGAAGGAGAACACAACTTTCTGACTTTCAATGCTACAACGACAAGGTGTGAAGGTATAATCTCTATTTATGTTAGCATAAATTGCATATTTACGATAAATCTTATAAATATGCAAAACAAATGATCAGAGAACTATGCTTGAAAATTAGTCCATCCAAGTCTTGTCAGATGAAAATAGCATGTGAGTGAATTGGGGCTCCACCAATATCATTTCACTTTTTGTTGTATTACCATGAACCAAATTTTATTCTTATTATTATTATTTGGATAAGTAAAGCACTGAACTTAATTTTTATAGAGAAATAATATTGATTATTGTTGCACAGATATATATATCAATAATGGTCACGTGTCTCAAATTTCTTACAACAAAGAACAAGAAAAGTACAACACCATGTTTGCTAGCAAAAATCATTCAATTGACGATGGCATAAAAAACCACACCATTCTAATACTCATTTGCTGGCAAGTCTTCTCAAAAATTTTGATGTTCAAGACACTGTTGAGTCGTTACCTCAATAAACTCAAAATAATGCGTCTTTAAAGAAGAAAACCAATCAAATAACTTGCTGCAAAATTTTGGTAACCATGCCAAAACCTCAACAGGGAGTTGAAATCCCACTCCATTAATGAAGTAAAAAGCAATGTAAGTTAACATGAGATTTGCTTATCACCGATTTAACTCTCTATTTTAGTACATTCGCCTTGCCAAAAAGACACAAGTTCTCTGATAAAAAGTTATGTGACACCTCACCATAATGGGTATCTACACAGGAAGCCTTACAATGGCATCTGCTTGAGATGCTCGCGCCTTGAGGACACAAAAAAAGTGCTCAACAAACTCCACTCATATGAGTGTGGTGACCACTTTTTGGAAGAAAACATGACCAAGAAGGCACTCTGCCACGGGTATAATCAGCCCATTATGCACCAAGGTGCCAAGGAATATTCAAATAAGTGTGTGATGAGTCAAAGACATGAGAGATTGTAGCACCAACCTAGCTAGCCACTTCATCCCATTGTCATTCCACGGACCTTCACCATAAGAGAGATCAATTTCATTGGTCCATTACCAAGAGCCTTCTTTCAAAAAAAAAAATCTCGTTTTTACCAGTCAACTAATATACCAAGTGGAGAGAATCCATCTACTTGCTCATCCTACAATCAAAATTATCATAAATTTCTTTTGACCAAAGATCATAACTGGCTTTGAACTCCCAATTACAGTAATCATAATTCTCACGAAAAAAAAACACATGCTAGAGATTTGCAATCGAAATGGGGTCAACCTCAAGTTTATCTTCATGAGCCATCCACAAACCAATGGTCAAACTGAGAAAGCTGAAAAATCCCTCTTAACCTTCTCAAGTAAAATTTGTTTGACAAAAAAGACCATTACACTAATAAGCTACCCATCTGCACTCTCTGTATATTACACCACTCTTCAACAATTACCACCAATCTTTGTCCTTTGCAGAGGTGTAAACGAACCGAACACGAACGAACAGACCTTGTGTTCGTGTTCGGTTTGTTTGAAATTTAGTTTGTTTAAAATAAGCACGTTGAAGTCACTGTTCGTGTTTGTTTTTTAACGAACGAGCCGAACACGGGTTGTTCGTAAACGAGGAGCCAATTTGACATCCCTAATATTAATATATATAAATAATATATTATATTAATTATATAACTTATATTATATAAATATAATATATATATATATATATATATTAGTTTCTTAACGAACGAGCCGAACACGAACTATTCACGAACGACGAGCTACTTTGACATCCCTAATATTAATATATATAAATAATATATTATATTAATTATATAACTTATATTATATAAATATATAATATATATATTAGCATATTACTAATATAGTATATTAATATATTATTATTATTAATTTATTATATATTATAATTTTTAAAAATATCATAAATTTTTTATATATAATTATTTTAAATTATTTTATATTTCGAACAATAACGATTCGAACTCGAACAAACGCATCACTGTTCGTGTTTAGTTTGTTTAACTGACCGAACGAAAAAAATTTGTTCACATTCGTCTCGTTTACTTATCGAACGAATCGAACACGAACTCATTAACGAACCGAACACGAACTGTACGAACACGAACTGTTCGCGAACAACGAGCTTTTTTGATAGCGCTAGTCCTTTGCCTTCAAAATTGAAGTTCTTATCTAGGCCAAAATCTGCATTCAGTCATTTCAATGAAAGAAACAGTCTTATTGCCTATGAACCAATCGGTTAAATGGACTAATAAAAGCTCTAGTAGACACAAAAATATATCAAACCATAACGAAGTCCAAGAATCAACTACCAGAAAAACATGCCAATACAAATCACAAGTTAGGCCATTCATAAACTCAAAGTTTCACCTCACAGAACTCAAATCAGAGAATCTCACCCCCGAGAACGTTGAAGGAATGAACAAGATTGCCAATAAAAGGGAGGTTTTACCAAACCAAAAGTTCCCTAAATTGTGAAAATATAATATGTTGAAGCAACATAAAGTCATGGATTTGAAAAGATGTTCAAAACATACACCTCAAAGTATGTCATGACAAACCCAAAAATAACCTCGTAACATATACATTAATAATTTAAGTGAGGCATACAATTTTTTTTAGTGAGGCACGCACCTCAAAGCTTAATGTCTCTAGGACTTCTACATGGATGAATAAAATTATACCATGATAAAAATTAAAATCTTTTGTTATATGATAAATTGGTATATCTCATAAAGTTATTAAAAATTCAGATTTAAATTTTTTAAGGTATGAATAAATTGTGAAGAGTTACAAACTACAAGCACAAAGGTCTATGAGTAGGGTGTAATAACCAATTTTTGAGAAATTTGAGAAAATTTTTTGAAACTTAAATCATGCCCCAATTTTTGCACCCCTCAAATTTCAATTGAAATAATTTTATTAAATTCTACTCGTTGAATCGAGCAATTAGATACAAAGAATTATATATTAATTATGAATGGTTTGGGAGATATAAAATGTTGAAGGTATAAGTAAAATCAAATTAATTAAACTTGATTATCTCTAATCCTTCCATTAATCCCATAGATCCACCGTAGCCAACCGACATTCTTTCGCCTTTTATTCCTTCGTGCGATCGAATAGGGCTCCAGCGCTTCGCAATTTCTTCTCCTCTCTCCCGTTTCCCACTCTCCCTACTCTCGATTTCCCGCAATTTGAGGTTTACTGCGATCGGTCTACTATAGTAGCCGCAAGCAGATAAACCTAGCGGCGTTTAGGGTTGCCGCAACTTGCAATTTAGAGCTCCAGGACAAATTCTGTAAGTGTGAATCCCTATTTCACGTTATTTGAGGCATTCATTTTCTTCCTCATACATTCATTTTGAATTTTGACTCGTTTTTCGTGCCTTTTTTTCTTTTCGGGTAGTCGTCGGAGGCGTCGATTGTGTGTCGCAAGCATCAAACGTCTTTTACAAGCCTTCAAAAGGGCTCTAGCAAGATAGCAGCGTAGGAGAAGTGTGGTTGGCGGTAATAAAAAGTAAATTTGGCCGCTTTGAAGAAGAGTTGGTTGCCGAGAAAGTCGTTTAAGGTATGTTTTAGCAAATCTTTTTTTTTTTTTGGTTAAATTACTTTATT